AAGAATGGTATAAAATCGGATTTTTGAAATAATATTTTTCAACAAATCTTTTAATAATATATTCTATCCTTTCAATTTTTCTAAAATGTAAAAGATGAAGAACAGTGGTCAATTTCATAAAAGTAGTAAGGAAAACGAATAGTAAACAAGACAAACTCACAGACCCCAGGAAACACCAAATGTGGGATTAGGTGCCAAGGAAAAGTAAACATCCCCGGTCGACGGCGGACCATGAGCTTTATGTATTAATAAGGCAGACGGAGTAATGTGACACTCAAGAAACGCCTGAGTCACATTGAACGTGAAATATAACATATTGAGCACTCAAACACGCTAAGTATATTAGATTTAAGCATTTTAAGAGCGATCAAATACTTTTATACTTATACACACTTTCTTTGTTTCACAAGTACCATATAGCGGGTTATTTTAAAGGGGTGCTAATTTTGGCTTATTTTGGCGTTTTGATGGTAGCACGCTAAAATTTTAATCGCTAAAACATAGAGTACTCTTCTTAGTGTTCATCTGCAAAGAGCTGAAACTCTGTATCCGCTAAAATAAACTACGCCAAAAATATCGGCATACCTCAGAGCAGGCAAATCGCGAAATTTTACACCCGGCAAGAAAACCCGGTATACGATATATGTTTGCAATCTTGATTTTGTTCCTTTTTTGTAAAGCAACTGCGCTTTTTTGCATTTATGTCATTATTTTCATTTCAAAAATTCATCTATTGAGATGCTTTTACATAATTACGTGATATTTAAACAATCGCAGCTATTGCAGAAAAAATTTACATAACCCGCTTACGCGGGTTATGTATTTTTTCTGCAATAGCTAAATCCGTTCATTCCAGTAATAACAAAGAAAGACATTTTATTGTTTATATTTATATCCTTCCTTCGTATTAAGTATTTAAAAAACGAGAAACATAGAAATGTGCTTTTATTTTGTTGTAAGTTTCAAGATACGAAGAGCCATTCAAGGTTACTTCCATATATGGAAGTTCAAATGTCATCAAATAAAATCGGTCACCAAAAAAGGTCACAGATTTTGAGTTCAAAGGAATAAAATAAGCCATCAAAATATGATTGTAAACACGATTTAATAAACAGTATTGAACAATTTTTAAAACAAATAATCAAAAAAGTAAGTTTGCAATGTTTTAATTTGCTGCATCTAAGTAGGTCGCGGAGTGTTTTTTCAGTCTGTGTGATTTGGCTCCTGCACAACGTGGTGATGGTGGAAATGGACTTCACAGTTCAGAAATGACGAATTCTGCACAAGTGCTGAGCTCCGGTTGGAAGATTTGCTGTTCAACGCAAGGTTGTTGAAAGATTGGGATGAGAGACCGGTAACAGCAGGTACTACAGTTCCATGAGTTGCAAATGGTTGATCAGGTCGAGGAAATCCGGATTATAAGGTAGGCCTACCGACTTGTTCATTTATTGTAGGATTCATTATTTTTGACAAAGTGCAGCTAAGATTTTTTTTCTGGGTCGATGATATACTTCTATCATACGACCTCAAGGACCCCTCATTTTGGTGGTCTGACATATACATGATATGTCTAGCTTCGTAGCCCTCATCGTTCAGATGGTGTATGGCAGTGACCCTTAGACAATGCCCTGTATATATGCGTGAAAGGCCTGCCACCGTGCTGATTTCTTTCATGAAGTTTGAAAATGTTCTTTTGGAAAACGGGGCATCTAAGTACCATTTTGATGTACTTTTTGGTAGGGAAACGGATTCTGATTTGTATTTATTGAAAAGGGATGAGGCAGATTCATCTGTTTTTTCAATTAATAGTTGGAGCATTCATACAGGGCACAAATCAGTATCTGTAGCATACATGCGTTTATCAGTGTTCATTTCCACATTTCCTAAACCACCTTGGTGATTCTTTGCTGTATCTCTCGGCTAAGTGTAACATATGCACCCGTGTCGTCGGATTGAAAAGAGAATGAATCCAACTTCAGTTGGTGATGAAATTCTTGGCCCCTAGAAATGAAGTGGATTGCAATATTGAAGTAGACGCATTGTCGGAGGATGATTGGGTTAAGTTGCACATCCTTGAAGTAAGTAGATATTTTTTTCCATATCACATCTTTCCATCAGGTCTTTGTGCTGTGTTGATTTTTAGGTGCCCTCCTTAACACGCTCTTTCAACAATCCATGTAGGACTCCATTAGATGTTTTAAAATCTTTGTCTTTAACAATGTCTATGTTTCTTTTTAGGTCGGTCAATTTTCGGTTTATAGCCCCTCTCAAATTTTTCAATGTATTTTTATGATCAAGTTCCCCATCTTTTAAGGGCCTTGCCTCACAGTAAAATTTCTCAAGGAGACTATTAAGTTGACTTAGTAATATTACTTCTAAATCTACAGGCTCCCCTCTTCTCTCAGTGCTCCAGTCTAATATGAAAGACAAGGTATATCCTAAATTAATTATGCATGGAATGTTTTTGTTAGACTTCTACTGCATATGAGATTTATTTTGGACAGAAATATTGACATTACATATTCATTTCACATTTAATGCTGACATAGTGTATTGGTGCACACAAAAAGGAATGAGGAACAGCTTCAGTCCCTGTTGTTGGCTTTTTTTAAAATTAGAAATGAAAAGTAATGCCAATTTTCCATATATAAAAAAAATATAATTTACTTTTTGTGTATTGCATTAAACATTTTTACATTTCCCATCTTACATGTATTTACCTTGAAACATTTTACATTCCCAGTTAGTGTTTTCCTTGGTTGCGGGAGTTTGGCGTGCTTCACACCTGTTCACATCGTTGTCTGTACTTTCTTTAAATCTATTGTCTGTTTTATGCACGTTGAGAGGGGTGGCAGGGGTTTCAGGCTTGGGGAGGTCAGATAAGGCAGGGATACTGAGGTTTTCTGTGATATCTTCTAATTGACTACTGCACAACATGTCTAAGTTTTGAAAATCAATTGTCTCAAAATCGAAATCGTCAAACTCCATTTCTATTTCACCAAAACCAAAGTGACCAAACTGATGCTGGCTCTGAGGAGAACTATCCATTGTATGGAAATATACATCACATTTGCAGACGATTGTGTATACAATTATATTGAAAATGAAATGAAACAAAAAATGGCTACAAAATGAAGATTTATTTTTCATAATTTATGAAAATTTCGACTGACACGATAATAAGCACCGTCAAAATACGTTTGTTTACATTTAGATGTACTTTTAAAAAGTAGTCCAAAGAATGATTCATACGCGGGCAGATTACTTTGAGAAAAACCCGGATTATCTGTGTTAGGAATAGTGACTGGTTTATGGAGAGATGAAAGCAGTGTTTTTTTTTTTTATAAGAAATAAAGGAAGAAAACTTTAGTGGATGTAAATATTTATCATATTATCTACCATTCTGCAATATCTTTGCAATATATTTTATAAGTCGATAGTTTTGTGTATGTAACTGAGGACAAAAATGATATTGCTGTTTGATTATACAGTGTTTTTTGACAAAACGTTACTAATATCTTTTACTTCTTTTCAAATATCATTGAAACTCATTTGGACTTATAATTAAAGTTCTCCATTACAACAATGATGTTGATTATTTCCAGGATGTGCATAATTTTCAATCATTATTTTATTGACTGCATAGAAACACTATAGAGAGCCATCCTTCATCTCATAATTACAATGTCTCAAATGTATAGTTCGTGCAGGGGGCTATTTTTTTTTTATCAGTATACATAATATATGAAGAAATGTATCTCAATACTGTTTCCCTGAAAATCTACTCCAGTTAGGAACGGAGTTTATATTATTCGACTAAACAAAACTTCCTGGAACAGAATTTCAATAAAATATATCAATTAAAAGTGTTAAGCACAAGTTATTCAAGTCCTAAATACTAATATATACGTAGATATTTTCACAACTGAATTGAATTCAATAATAAAAAGCGGTTATAGCGCCGTCAGCATATTGTGTAAGATATATTAATACACTATGTGGGTCCCCTATAATAGAAATTTAAATTTGAGCATAAATATATGAAAAAATATAAGAAATCACAGAATTTTCTTTTTTTTACGTTTCAGTGCAACTCTATCAGGTTCTTTTCTAGGAAATATTAGCAGAAGAAAATAAATACTTTAAAATAATTTAAAAAGTGAGAGAAACGTAGATCTTTAAATGTGAAGATAACAAACAGTATTAATGCTCAAAAGACCATTAAACAATACAAACATTGGAGCAGAAAACACGGACCTCCATAACATCAGAGGTGGGATCAGGTGCCATGGAGGAGTGAGCATCCCCTTCTGACCGGTCTCATCAACCAATAACGAACAGTATTCGTGCTTAAAAGACCAATTTCGAAAACAATGTAAATTGTAAGCAGAACAGACACAGGCCTCTGAGAGTTTTTTGTCTAATAACATATGAGATAATAAGAATTAAAAAGTATTTCATATATCTACGTAAAAAAACAGAACAAAGGTTGCCATTACACTCTGAAAGTATTCTCTTTTATCTGAACAGTGTCGTTCTCTTAATCTTATTATATGTGTATGTATAAGTTTTGTATTTATAACCAGTGACAATACACTCAGAGTACTTCAATTAACTTTAAGCGGGTATTTATCATATCACAGCAATCACTGTATATTCTCTAATATTCTCTAATATTGAAGTTATTCACAAATTAATACAAAATTTGTATTCAGTCCGTTCTAGTTGAGTCATGATATTCGTATTTCCAGCAGACGTTTAGAAGTGATACATGTCACATATAGAAAGAGAAAACAAAATTTCAGTGTCACAAGAAACACAGCATGAATCTTAATACCTGCAATGCATGGATATTGCCTAAAGATACATCACAAAAGAAAGCTTATGCAACTTAACTTGATTTTAATCTTTTGTCATAAAAATAATAAACATGCTAAGATTGATTTTACTCTGAATTATAGATGTAGAGTCTTAATTACTGTATTTAAATCATAGAATGGTTAATAACATATTGAGTAAGAAAGGGAGTCATATAGAAATGCCAGAACTCTTGTCTGTAACAAAACCAGAGCACAGTTACCATCTGTCCTCTTGTTGTTGTCTTGATCATGAGTGGTAAAATTCATAACACTGTGAAACTTTAAGCTGTCACCTGTAACAGAGTATAGTATACAGTTAAAGTATATCAATGAGGTAGTTAGCAGGATTCCAGTTTCCAAAAACCAGGAGTTTTTCCCGAGGCGCAGCGCGCCGAGGGAAATAGTCCTGGTCGAGGGGAACTGGAATCTTCCTAACTCACTTAATGATATACTTTAACTGATTTATTATACTGATACAAATTCAAATTGTAAAGATCAACTTTTTAAAAATATATATATTCATTTACTGATTGACTAATCGACTAATCATTATTCTCATAACTGAATAAAATCAAAATTTATATTTATTTAAAAAACTAGACATAACGGATAATCGCGAATTAGAATGACTAGCTTTCAACGGAGGGATTAGCTAAAAAAAAAAAACTAACGCACCAGAATTAACCGTTTTCTAGGGAAATTTTCAGATCTAATCACTTAATTTCATATAGGGAAAATCAGTAGAGGTATAAGATAGAATCTAGTTAGATAAGTATAGTATAACTGCTCTTGATTATCTAAAAAAATGACAAATTTTAGGGAACAGAAATGTTGATATACCTGAGTTACGTGTAGATCGTTCACTTCAGAATACCCTTTAAATTACATGCTTGACACAATCAAGAAAAGTATGCGAATATTCTTTTTCGACCGATTCTGTTTCGTCCGAAGCTGGCAAGTGGTAATGAAAATTACACAAGTGACCAGGGGATCATCGCAGAACCTAGCGAATGTACATACCTGGTGCTCAATCTCTTTTACTCAGACACTCACTCAATATTTCCGCAAAAATGTTTAAGAATAATTGAATTTATGTATTGTTTCTTATTCATCATACGTATTATAGGACCAGGACTTTCACAGGTTGAAAAGTATAGAATATTTTTTTTACATTACATGACAGTTTGAACCAGGAATACGGCGACTTTCTTCATGTATAGTATAAAATTAACGGAAGAATAGAAATCACGCAATTGTCGGATATATCATCCGTGAAAATCCGCCCCCCACCCACCCACCGTGTACCCCCCACCCCGATGTTCCGTACCCATGGGTTCTTTGCCTTTTTAAAAATGAAATATTTTTCTTTGACATTTTCACAAAGTATTACAACTGAAAAAATCATAATTTAAGCTTAAACTAACCTTTTTGTAAATAAAAATAATACCCTCTGCTAAAGAAAGAACGTCCTGATTTAGTATCAGAATCAGAGGGTATGAATTTTCCCCGTCCCCAAGAACATGTGGTTAATATAAGTATGTCTGGAGACTATTAAATTTTTATGCGTAACAAGGAATTTTTATCCCCACCCCTCTTTAATTCACGAAATATCAGTTCTTTGTTGTTCCCACAAACGGAAATTGCTCCCCATACAGGCCTGCTTTGTAGAAAATCTCTGTCATAAGGTGCTTTCATTAAAAATCTTTTGATATGAATTATTTCACTCTAATGTAGTTTGGTATAGGAAAAAAATACTATTCTAAGTATGATTTCATCTGTTCGTTTGGTAACTGTGTCAAATAAAGTGAACAGTAAAATTGAGAAACAATCACTTGCGAGCATGAACATTGAGGTTTTATTGTTTGAATAAATATATAATGGAAACTATTTAATATAAATATTTTCTAGAAAAAGGACAACTGGAAGTAAATGAACGCATTCTTAAGTATTTTCCTAGACGGAATACTATATATCCTAACAAGGAAGGAGATCACCAATTGTCAGAAAGCGTATTTTATAGTGTTTTGGAAATAAATTGGTACTGAAAAAAGTTTTATATAACACCCCCCCCCCTTTCCGAAATAGGATTTTCATCTTTGAAGAGAAGGCACATTTCCCCCGTTTTCTGTTTGTTTGTAAATCTTTTTTGCAGGTTGGATTTTTTTCCTCTTACACTTAGCCCCCACCCCCCACCCCCACTTTCAATTTGCTTCCGACGCCATTGATTTTTTAACACCAAAGAATGAAAATAAGATTAAGCTCCACCCATGCTGTAACATAAGCGGTTCAACATCTCATTGATCGGTCCAACATCTCACTGATCAGCCGTACAACATCAATCTTTTTTATGTCCGCTCAGCAAAACATTAGAAATATTAGACTTTTTCTCGTATAGATTTGTAGAGGAACAAATTTTTAAAGGTATAGCAAATGCATTTATCTCATTACTTTTCTTATAAAAATGCCGCTTGTTTTTAACAACTGTGAAATATCCCTACAATATCTTGTGAAATCAATAGTTAGTTTGTTTGTAGTTGAGGACAGCAGTGTTGCTGCTGTTTAATTATACGTACTAATTGGGACAAAACTTTTTTTCAAAATTCATCGGAACTCATATGGACTGACGACTCTCGTTTTCAATAATGATAATGAAATATCCCCAAGGGGAGCATCATTTGTAATCATTATTTAATTTGCTGCATAGGACACTGAAAAGTGTCATCATTTATTTCATGTTTCCAAGGTCTCAAATGTTTAGTATTATGTTCGTTATAAATTATTTCGTATCAATAAAAACGATGCATTGTCCTTGTTTTCTCTGCTCCTATTTTGTATTGTTTTAAGAACATTCAAGGCTTGAATAGGGTTCTTTATCTCCATATATTTCATTGGGAAATTCATTTTTCTGTTTCCTTGTAATTCTAATCAAGTCAAGAATGGTGTTGATAATATCCGACGGAAAAAAAAGAAATTCCCATGCAAGCTTACAAAAAAATAAGAAAATCACAAAGTCTTCTTTTTTTACATTAAATCCAATGCTAGCAGATTCTTCTGAGGAAAATATAAACTAAAGAAAATACTTTAAATATTCCATTAAATACCATGAAAAAAGAATAAAGGCTATTCAAAACACATTAGATTTTAACGAATTTTCATTTACACATAGGCATGTTCAAAGATCTATACTATGCATACAGTATTGTTCACATAAGGGGTAAGAAGAAAAGAAAAATACATGCACGACATTAGAACAGTTATAACGAATAGTAATCAATTAATAGCTAAGAAGTCCTTGAAACAATACGAATTGGAAGTAGTGCGAACACGGACCTCAAAAAATCAGAGATGGAAACAGCTTTCATGAAGGAGTCAGTACCTTATCGACAAGTTACCACATTTGCATTGTGCTCTTTGTTTTATTCCAGTAAATTAATATAAAAAGGTTCAATTTATTGTAAAAATACTAGCCTAACAATTAGTATGAAAAACATCTACTAGGTTTCGAAGCAATGATATATAGTAATTCTACCGATCTTAGAACTTGCGAACCATTCGGTGTTTATTTAAGGAGTGCTTTTAGGTTTTGTGTTAGACAGATTAAATCACATTAACTTGTCACGAAAGCATATCTTATGAAGCGCACATGCTCTTCATAAAAAATATGCCTAAGTACAATTCTGTGTAATTTACACACCGATAATTCACTCCTCCTAATATTTATATTTTAAATGATTACGACCAGTATTCAATTTCAGAGTCCATAAAACAATACAAAATATTACAAAGCCATAATCATAAACGTCTTTTTCAAGTAATGAAACATATGGAGAAAACGAACAGTATTCAAGATGAATAGTCCATAAAACAATACAAAATAGGAGCAGAGCAAACAGGGCCCTTCAAAAAATCGGAGGAGGGATCGGGTGCCATGAAGGAGTGAGCATCCCCTGCTGACCAGCCATTCCCACCGCGTGCTTCTTGTCATGATCATGATCGAGAAATAACGGAAGAATTCGTCGTCAATTCAGTGTATAGATAATGGAGTGACAATAAGTATGAAAAACACCGGTCAGGATTTGACTCAATGATAAATTGTATACACTGTCAAGGTCATTGTATCGACCAAAGAACTTACTAAATGATGACTTTAAAGGAGACTGCTGATATGTTTCTTTCATCAACTTGTTTGTCAATAATTAACCTCGTTTTAGAAATGTCATACGTTAACATGCTTTTGCGTATCGAATCAACTGAGATATAAAAACTCCGTATACAGGTGATGAAGGTATATTGCTGCATAAGTAAGGGAAGTTAAGGGTTGGAAAGTTAAGTTATCACGTTTATCAGAGAGCTTCATTGTAAGGTTACCATTAATGTCTTTTTCAATTAAAATATCCAAGTACGAAACAGATGTGTCAGACTCTGTGGTGTCTTTTATCACAAGCTCACCAGGATATATCATATCGACATAAGAATGGAAGTTACCTTAGTTAATTTATAATACGCCATAAATCTTAATAACGATTTGAAGACCAAGTGTACAGCAAGTGTTTTCTTCTTTTCATGTTGAAGATTTTGGACAAATTTTGTTTAATGTAAATACAAAAGTACGCCTGCTTATAATAACAGGACGCTATTGGTGCCAATGGGAATTCCAATAGATTGTTGGAAGACCTGGTTTCCAAAAAAAAAAATACACATAGATATTGACAATCAGAAAGTCACACATCTTTTTCAACCTTTCCTATATTGTTTAATTTTCATCAACGTTTCTGTGGCTTCATTGTGGCGTCACTTTAGCTCTATTGTAAATTTTTACGCTTGAGTATATGCAAAAATGACTTTCCAATTAATTGTAAAGTTAGCTTAATGGATATACAAAGCAAATGTAAATATTGTTCATCATTCATTGATATGCTACAATAAATTCAGGATGCACTATATGGACATGATAGAGAGAAGAATTCAATTTTTAAAAAAATATCTTTACTTTTGGTCTAAGCATTAACATTGTACTTTCAAATCATTTCAGGTACATAATATTTTTGTCAATAGTTTTAACTGAATTCAAGAACAGATATTTATCACGTTACTCCTCAGAATAATCAGAATACAAAAACAAGTACATATTACAACACATCAAACTCAGACAGCAGGTCGGTACTCGTCACGTCAGGGAATGTTCAATGTATTTATCAACAACTTTTTAAATATTCAAAAATATAAAAGTAGGCACAGTTTGCGTCAGATCAAACTCGGTAAGCTCAGTAATATCAGGATAGGTCGGTACTGATCAAGTCAAGCTCAGTGCATTTAGTAATAGAAAACTACACGTGTTGATTATACCACATTTTTCGTGGTTTTATCATACATCGTTAGGTACGTATATATAGTCATGCTAATTGATGATCAAGAATCTTTGAATGTCGCCGATTTAGATGTAGTGGTGACCTTACAGTAGCTCTTGCGGACTTTTTGAAATGAAACATAACAAGTACTATCACACTACAAAGACAGTACGTTCATCTAATGACATTTAATGAACGGAGTAACTCTCAATAACTACAACGTATGATATTGTCTAAGAAGAATACAGCATAAAAAGGCAACCACAATTTGTGATTTATGTACACCTTTATTAATCACAGCGAAAAAGAATAGAATAGCTTAACTAACTTGAAGCACTGTTTATGAGAAAGATATTGCGGATCGGTTTCTTAAGAACTACCTACCACAACTACATAATACAATGATAAACTTATGATATCGGAACCGATTTTTCATCAGCTCTAGTTGTTGCGTCTTATCATCAACACCGTCTTTTGTAGTGCTTCTCTACTTTTCCAGTGATACCATGTCATATACCGATTACCAGTAACACCAGACTGTCCGTACTCTCCGTTAAGGTTTGAGTGATGACAGGAGTTGTACCACCAGGCTGCGCGATTGCTTACAGCACAGCTACCAGCATTTATGTCGTTGTCCTGGTCTTTTGTACTGAAGGCCATCCCATTATGAGAAGAAAAACTGTCAACTGTAACAAAGCATTGATTACAAGGAAAGTATCTGTTTAAACAATTATTTCATTATCGCTAAAAATAGAATCAAGATCCTAGCCCCCTTTTTTATGACCCAAAAGTAATGAATCTATGGAGATAACTAATAGTTTTCAAGATCAAAACTCCAGAAAAAAAATCAGAAATATGAGCAGAGCGAACGCGGACCTCCGAAACATCAGAGGTGGGATCAGATGCCATGGAGGAGTGAGCAAGTAAGAAAAGGTAAATGATCCCTTTTTCATCGTAATAATAATCGTCTTTTACTCATAAAATAACAACAAAACAAGAACAAAGTGGAGCGTACACTCGCAACTAGGCTGATCTATAAATCGTGATCCAACCTCTGATGTTTCGGAGGTCCGTGTTTGCTTTGTCCTATTCTGTATTGTTTATTGGATTTTTTTTAGTTTGAATACTGTTCGTAATTTCCATATAATTCATGAATTCAGTATGATAAATTGATAAGCCTTTTAATTTAAATTAAAAATTCCCCAAAAGTAATTGGAGATTTTAACCCCTTCTTGTCTTCAATGTTACAGGCTTACTTTTCTTGTATGTCATTTTTATGCCCTCTCTTCTGATAATCGTTTGATTAGTAAATTTTAATTACCCGCTGTTCCTGAATATCCAGACACCGTGATTTTGTACTTATCATTTTCATCTCTGATGTAAAATGAGGTATACACAGCATAGGCTTCTTCTCCATCATAACTTCCCAGGACCACCCGGAGTTCTTGGCTTTTATCCTTTGTTAGGGTGTGGATTGCATCATTCCCTTTGAATATGTCAGAGATGTAAAAAATATTATTCATTTCATTTATTCAGTATTATATATTTTATTATATTATTTTCTGATTACTTTATACTTTGAAAAATCAAAAGTTCGTATATTGGTGTAGGTTAAGTGTGTGATGTTTCATCAGGATAGAAATGTTTGTGGAAGGATATGGAGATAACGAACAGTATTCAATCTCAAATTCCATAAAACTATACAAAATAGGAGCAGAGCAAACACGGACCTCCAAAACATCAGAGGTGGGAGCAGGTGGAGTGGTGGCATATTGGAAGTATTTTACACATCCCTTTTTATAGATATTATAATGGGGACCTGGGATTTTATTTTTTGGATTGATGGAGACTATTTTAGAAAAATGTAAAATATGTCAACAATTCTTGTACCCGACAAGATTGTGACAGATAAAAAATACTTGAGAAAACTTTAGTTTTTCTTGTAAAATCCTGCAATTTGTTTTGTAAAAAAAAAAAATTCTCAACACTTACTTTTTGATTATGATATATCTTTATCAAATAATTCTGCAACTGTTATTGCATTGTTTTAGTTTTGAAGATGCGATATCACTAATAGAGAAAGGAAAGGGAAATTCAAAGAGTTATTATAGATATTAATCACGTAATGGTATCAATACACAGGTATCCTCTTCTATCCTGGAACGGTCGAACTGTCCGGTTAGTTTAAAGAGCACACAGTGGGTGTGACCGGTCGGCAGGGGATACGCACTCCTCCATGGCACCTGATCCCACCTGCGATGTTTTAGAGGTCCCTGTTTGCTCTGCTGCTATTTTATATTGTTTTACGGACTTCTGAGCTTGAATACTGTTCGTTATCTGCATAGATTTCATTCACTTAAACGCGGAGTTTATTTCTTAATTGATATTGAGTCTAAAGTTACATATTTATTATACACTTTTACAAGTTTTTCTGATCTGTTATCTTTTGATAACGGTCAAAATTTATAGGAAAATAACGATCGTTAAATTGATTGAATGGAATTACATAAATCTGTGATTGATTAAATCATTTTATTGAAACACAATCAATTGGATTGGACACAAGTTATGCCAACTTAGATTTTCCTCTCCAACACAAACAAATTGAGAAAAATATATACACGTGCTGTACAACCAACAAATATACAATATAAAAAAGAAGGAAAGGGTGCAGAAAAATACGAAAGGAAGGGAATGGGATTGCAAGGAGAGAAGAAATAAGAAATGGGTTGCAAAAGATACAGAATAGTTATGCTAGTTATTCATAAAAATCTTTTCAATTTTTCAATATACTTATGTGCGGCTTTGACAATGTCGATATTATTTTGTTTAATTAAATTTGGGTCCCCAATTAGTATTATGTTAATGTCTATTTGTCCCCAAATAGAATTATGCCAATGTCTGTTGCTCCTTTTTTATCTTATATACTGTGAAATAATTCTGTTCTAATTTCAACATAATTTATACAGTTGAGGAAGAAGTGTTCAGTGTTTTCATTAATATATCTACAAGAACACTGAGTGTTAACTGAAAGCCCAACCTTAAATGAATCTGAATTTAGGATGCTGGCATTAAGTCTCATTCTAGTTAAAATTGCGTTTGTTTTTTATCATCAGGCCATTCCAAGTTTTTTCTCTGTTTAGCGTCCACTCATCTTTCAAAAACCTACCTACCTATTCACAAAAAACACACAAGCCAAAACATAAAACACAAGCTTAAAAGTCATAAAAATGACGTCCTTCAAATGATTTGATCGAACTAAAATGCTTTAATAGATGAAATTTCTATTCTTAAGCAAAAACAATGGATTAAATGCTTACAAGACACCCAATATAACTTACTGTAGAGAATTATTTGGAGAAATGTACAAAATAAAAAAAAATTCGACTAAATTTATCTATTTCAGGACTCCTGTTGTTGTGTTTTTTCTCATATGGGGTGTCAAAAACCAAGGCGCACGCGGACGCTAAACATAGAAAAAACTTGGAATGGCCTCATAAGAAAAATACGGTTCGGGAGATTCACATCTAAAGAGTAGTTTTTGAAAACATTTACAGTATCTAGGTTTCTAATCTCTGGAGGCAAAGCATGCCATATTACATAAATGTGTGATTAATATATAGATAGAGAATTTTTCTTTTAATCATCCTTGAGTTTTCCCATTACATAACATAATAAGGAAAGTAAAAACATTAATGTAACAGAAAACACCTATACTTACCTATCCAGTAGTTCTTTGATACATTCCCAAACCCTTTTTTGTACTCTGTCCATGTCCTGTAAAAATCAACATCGCCATCTTCTCGTTTCTGAATCACCTGTTAATAACATTTACTTATTCAACTAATAGCTTTATGTCTAGGAGTAACAAACGAATTTGATCATGTTTGCTATGTCAGATATTATTTTCTGTAACATCTTATATTTTAAGTTCTTCTGTTTACTACCCTATGACGTATAGGATCTATTTCACTTTTTCCTGAAAATTCTTTATTGACAATGTGTCAAACATATTGGAAGCAAGATTTGAACAAATTGTATATTCTTTTTCTGTTTTTTTTTAATTGTTTTTATTATTTTTATGATATTGAATGGTTTATTAAATAATGAATTGCAGATTAATTTATATTACAGTTCTTGTGAGTAATTGAATCTTTGGTAGGTAAATTCCTTTTCTGCTATGACCTTCACAAGAAAGTGGAAACTTAATATATCCGTTTCTATAGAAACAAACTGATTAAAATGACCATTTCTACTTTACAGACAAAGTGGAAAATTGTCTGAAATATACAATCTATCATTAAATCAAATACTGGCTGACTTTTTTCATATTAATACCAGGCCTTAATTTACACACTGAATTGTCGACAGATTTTTTAATTATTTCCCGATTATGACAAGGAGCACGCTGCGGGTGTGACCGGTCGGCAGGGAATGCCTACTCCTCCACGGCATTTGATCTCTAATCTAATGTTTTGGAAGTCCGTGTTCGTTCTGCACTAAAATTTGAATTGTTTAATAGACTGTTGAGATGGAATATTGTCCATTAACATATGGAGATAACAAACAGTATTCACGCTCAAAAGTCGATAAACAATACAAAATAGGAGCAGAGCAACACGGATCTAGACCTCCAAAACATCAGAGATTGGATTAGGTGCCATGGTCTCATATGCCTGGTATCCAAGTGACATACATGTTTATTGCACACATTGTAAAGTCAGTGAATTTAAGTATACTGGATTACAAAGAATATCTTCAAAGACGCGTTGGAACAACGATGTACCTTTAATTACAAATCTTGATTAACCAAGCTTTGCTTAAAAGCTGTGTTTTAAAGGGTTTTGTAATGCTGCACAAAGATAATGTCTGCTTTAGGAAAACAAACTTTCTAAACAAAGATGACCTTTTATGAGATTTTAGCTCATTTGCAAAGAAATACCTATACATATCTCACCAAATCTGCCAAGTAAGAATTTCAAACAATATTTTGTTTAAACAACGTGATGAAAAGGTAAAATTAAGTGATTATTATTTTTAGAAAACACTACTCACGGTCCATCCCCCTCCATCTGTCGTCATGTCACAGTAGACCTCTCTCCAGGTGATGTCGATGTATAACATTGACAATAAAACATAATACTCACCGTCCATCCCCCTCCATCTGTCGTCATGTCAAAGTAAAACTGTCTCCAGGTGTTGTCGATGTATAACATTGACAACAAGAGGTCCAGGGGCCACAGCGCTTACCTGAGCACATCGGCTAGGAAAAAGCACATATCAGATCAGAACTAAAAGTTTACTGAGTTGGGGGGGGGGGGTAGGGGCTTGAATTTTAACTCCCAGGGGATCATGATTTGAACGAACTACAACCTACATTACCTGAGGATGATTCCATATAAATATTACTAATCATGGATTTGAAGTACTTGAAAAGAAGATTTTAAAAGGTTTCCCTATATATTCCTATATAAAACTTTGGTCGGCCATTTTGGCCCCACCCTACCCCCGGGGGTTATAATTTGAACAAAATTGAGTCTACACTATTTGAGGATAATTTCACATGAGTTTCATCTTTCCTGTCTCAATGGTTCTTGAGAAGAAGATTTTTAAAGATGTTTTCATATATATTCCTATGTAAAACTTTGATCGGCCATATTGGCCCCACCCTACCCCTGGGGGTCATGATTTGTATAAACTTGAATCTGTACTACCTGAGGATTATTCCACCCGAGTTTCATCTTTCCTGACCCAGTGGTTCTTGAGAAGAAGATTTTTAAAGATGTTTTCCTATATATGTTTTATGTGAAACTTTGATAAGCCATTTTGGCCCCACCCTATCCCCGGGGTCATGATTTGAACAAACTTGAATCTATACTATCTGAGGATGATTCCACATGAGTTTCATATTTCTTGGCCCAGTGGTTCTTGAGAAGAAGATTTTTAAAAAACGCCATTAATTTTTCTCTAATTCATAATTATCTCCCCTTGGAAAAGGACCTTCATTTGAACAAACTTGAATCCCCTTTACCCAAGAATACTTTGTAGCAAGTTTGGTTGAAATTGGCCTAGTGGTTCTTGAGAAGAAAATGAAAATGGGAAAAGTTTACAACAACAACAACAACTACGACTACGACGACGACATCGACAACAACAACGACAGACAACGGACAAATTTTGATCAGAAAAGCTCACTTGAGCCTTCGGCTCAGGTGAGCTAATAAAACACACTACTCACGGTCCATCCCCCTCCATCTGTCGTCATGCCACAGTAGACCTCTTTCCAGGTGTTTTCGATGTATAACATTTACAATAAAACACACAACTCACCGTCCACCCTCCTCCATCTGTCTTCATGTCACAGTAGACCTCTCTCCAGATGTCAGCGTGGATAACGTATACACCATCGTGTCCTTTCTTGCTTTTGTCTTTTTTCAAAATATCTGAGCAATCTTTGTATGCTATTTATATGTAGCATTTAAAAGAAATTAAAATTAAGTCATTTTACTTAATTATTACTTCTATTAAATGTTTAAAATGGAAATATCAAATTTAACTGTTATATGTTCAAGTATTTTCTCCAGGAGCGACATATTCTCATAGACATGAGAATTTTTTTTTCCTTTTAATTGCTTCAACCAGGGATAAGTCCTCTAGATTTTTCATTTCTTTCATCAATCTTATTGTCGACTAAAATATGTGTGCCAGAGCAGGCAGTTTTCTTTAGATTATATATTTTCCTGTTACTTACTGAAATAAAAAGATCGGAAATGCAAAGGGAGATTATTCATATGGCCGCCAAGATTTATTTTCATAAAAGTAAATTTAATTTTATTTTTCGAAATTAGTTTGAAGATGAATATGTTTATTTTGTTAATAATATTTCATTAGACGAATTCACACTGTAGCTGATATATGCTCAGATTTACCCTCAAATTCTTTAACATTACGTTTATTGGAAATTATAAGAGGGTGGCATTTATACTTTAGTGATTAGAATATGAAGTACATGGGAGACACTCAATTGGTTTTGCTGAGTAATTAGATATACCCTGCACACCAACATCTAGCAATATGGCCAGTGTCGGGTTTGCACTTCGTATTAAAAAAATCTTAATTAATTGCGAAAAATTGCATATCTAAAGTTAGAAAGTTCTAGTTACTTGATTAACGCTCGTACTCGTAAATAATTCTCTTTTATTAATAGTTCAAAACCAACATCAAAGACCCACACTTTTTATTTCATTTCCTAGATGAAACATATTTAGATAACGAACAGTATTCAAGATCAAAAGTCCATTAAACAATACAAAACAGGAACAGAGCAAATGCGGATATCCAAAGCATCAGAGGTGGGATCAGGTGCCATGGAGAAGTGACACATCCTTGTCTTGATCGGGAAATAATGGGAAAATCCGTCGTCAATTCAGTATATAAAGAATGGACTAAAAATTATTATGCAAAAAGTCAGTCAGCATTTGACTTAATGATAAACTGTATTTTCTGACAAGGTCATTGTATCGACTATAGAAGTTACGAAATGATGACTTTAAACGAGACTGCAAATTTTCTTGTTTCATCAACTTGTTTGTCAATAATTTAAATCGTTTTAGAAACTGCTCATACGTAGAGCATGCTCTTGCGTATCGAGATATATAAACTCCGCATGCAGGAGATGAAAGTATATTGCTGCATAAGTAAGGGAAAGTCATTACATTTATCATAGAAATTGGTTGATAGAGTGCTATTAACGTCTTTTTCAAGTAAAATATCCAAATATGAAACAGATGTGTCAGACTATGTGGTATTTTTAATCTCAAGCTCACCAGGATATATCATATCGACATAAGAATGGAAATTACCAAATTATACTGAAATTTTTAAGATTTCTTTATCTACACTGTCTTAGATTGTCTACGTCTATTAGTCCCTGTATGTCTCAGCAGATGAAGTACTAGTATATCGTCAATAATCGTCATAGTATGTGCATTAAAAACAAAGATGTTGGTACATTTATTAGCTTGGCTTATAATTCTTTATTTATGTCTTATTCATTGATATACATTCACTTTATAAAGGAGCACAGGGCGGATATGACCGGTCAGAAGGGGATGTTCACTCCTCCATGGCACCTAATCCCACCTCCGATGTTTTGGATGTCCGTGCTTGCTCTGCTCCTATTTTGTATTGCTTTAAGGACTTTTGATCTTGAATACTGTTCGTTATCTCCATTTGTTTCATTTATAAAAGAAATAATAATTACCACTCTAAATGTTTCAGTGAATTTTGAAATTCTGCCCAGTTTCTTTCACTGGAGAAACCGAGTTAGAATTAGATTTCTCTTAATTTACCTTTGGAATGACTCTAATATTTTACTGCTATGGAAAAGAAATGTGTCAAATAGAGAGAGAAAAAATAATTACACACTTTTGTATATTGTGTATATTGATAGTAAGTCTACATTCTTATTCAGTACCAAAGAACATGTTTTAAATCTAAGTACTCTATATCACTCAATTTTACCGTTGATACTACGCAATCACGTGACGTCGTGATCCGACATTCCGGATCACCACACTGTGGTTTTCTAAATCCGTATCACCACTCTCTGAAATTGATGATGTGGTACGCAGAAAGATTACGTTATTTTTGTTGCGCATCAAAAATGTTTCTTGACTTTTTGCTTTGGTTAATGGATAAATAATGCATGATTGATTCCCTAAGAATGTTGACTCTTTTAATAGTTGTGAGGAGGTATATGATAAATTTATCATTATTACCGTAACTTGATCCGAAGGGCCATTATGGTCTCGTTGACAGGCGCGGATCATCAGATCAATATCGACGCTTCGCTTTTCGTTTGATCTGATGATCAGAGCCTGCCAACGAGACGTGATATGGCCCTTCGGATCAAGTTACTGTTTAAATAATATAAGTTTATCCGACAAGTTAAGACGCTAATGAAACAAAATATCGACCATAGAATTCACGAAATGCTGACTTAAACGAAGTTGTTAACTTTTTGGCAGCATCAGCTGATGTGTCAGTGGCTTGCTTTGGTTTAAGCATTGATCATATACTAAATGCACGCTCTTAAGTATTAAATAAGTTGAAGGCATTAAACACCATATACAGGAGTTAGCGAAACATTGTTACAAAAATAAAGAATAAATAAGGAAAGATGACGAAGGAAAATCAGATGCCGTCTCTGTTGTCCTACAATCAAGTTGCTTGAATGATACATATGGAGATAACGAACAGTATTTAAGATCAAAATTCATAAAACAATACAGATGTGAGCAGAGCAAACACGGGCTCCAAAACATCAAGGGATGGACCATTGTCATGAACTAACTAATAAATTAATCTGTTACCTTTTAAAACTGGCACACATTCACCCCTGATACACATTGCGTTCTCGGCACAGGCATGATTTAAACAAAAGCCAGTCACGTGCTAAAAGGAATTAATCTAATGAATAGATTCGTTTAATATATAATCAAATATTTTTTATTTATTGAAAAAGGTGAAAATGACATACAAGAATCGCTCTCAAAGACAATCTAAGACACAATACATATATGTGAAGGGGCATAATCTAAGACGCCTGAACACAAAGTGTCTAGGATAAGTAACATTCCCTCTTAAATGATTCAAACATTTTTACCTTAGGAAAATGATCCCGGTCGACATGAATTGAGCGGCCATGGGTCATTATGTCACTGGAATTCTGGGTAGCAAATCTTGTGTTTAGCCGACATGTCTTTTCTTCTCGCATCCAATCCACTGAGCGACATAATGTAAACTTGTAACAAACCATCATACACTGTCCGATGCCAGTATCGGTCAACAGGCTAAAACCTGGGAATGAGAAATTCTCGAAATTGTCAATGATCAAAGTTTTAGGGTCGAAGCACTGTGAGTATCCCGCATGTAGCAGGCCTAGAAATTGACCAATGAAATAGAGACTGCTCGCCTTTTGAAATGTTGCTGAAACTATTTCAACAGTTTTCTTTAACGACACAGCAAACATTGTTGGTCCTTGGCTTCTGGTTGAGAAGCTCCTATTGAATTCTAACTTAATCAGACAAAGCTTTATAGCTTTCTTTAAAGATATCGATTATGATTGATGAGGGTCTAAAATTATGTTTTCCTTTTCTTATTTA